TTCAACTGTAAATACGATTGCAGAAAAAAAAAAAAAAAAAACTCCTCTAAATTATACACTCTATAAAAAACTTTTATAAACTCTATGATGTTGATTAAAAAAAAGTGCGCGTGCACACACATACACACACAATCAGCTCTGGCAACCATTTTACCCAATTAACAAAAGATTTAGAAAAACTGTGCATAAGAACTTTTAAAATCTAAATTCTTAACATATCCTAATCTGTTAAAACTCCAATTTCGGGGCATGCAGTGTTTTCCAGGCATGTCCAATCTTTTGGCTTCCCTGGGCAACCCTAGAAGAACTGTCTTGGGCCACACATAAAATACACAAACACTGGCTCATGCCTGTATTTCCAGCACTTTGGGAGGCTGAGGAGGGCAGATAACTTGAGGTCAGGAGTTCAAGAGCAGCTTGGCCAACATGGTGAAACTCTGACTCTACTAAAACAGAAAAAAAAAATAGGCAGGCATGGTGGCGTACATCTGTAGTCCCAGCTACTCAGGAGGCAGCGGCAGGCAAATTGCTTGAACCCAGGAAATGGAGGCCACAGTGAGCTGAGATTGTATCACTGCACTCCAGCCTGGGCAACAGAGCGAGACTGTCTCAAAAATAAACAAACAAAAAAACTAACACTACCAACAGCTGATGAGCTTAAAAAAAAAAAAAAAAATCACATAAAAATCTCATAATGTTTTGGGAAGTTTATAAATTTGTGTTGGGCCACATTCAAAGCTGTAAGCTGGACATGCTCATTTTAAACTATCCTTTCCTATAGGGGGAAAATCCTGATTAATTTTTTTAACTTAAATGTTTAAAACAAGATTTTATGCTTGCCTGTTTATTTTTTTAAAAGTATGTCTTGTTCAATTTTTTAAATACTTTGATCTCTACTTAAAACCTAAAAGAGCTACAAGACTGCCCCCAAAAGTACAATTTTACAATACAAATTGTATTCATAAAGATATCATTTTAATGCTAAGGAGCTGAGAGACTTAAGGTCACGAAACAGCACCAAATGTTTATGCACGGTGGACTCAAGAAAGGGTAGCACATAGGATGATTTTTTTAAAAGTCTTTTTCCCAAGAAAGTAAGATTAAAGTGATAATTCACTTAATATTTAAAATGTCCTAAAATGCCCTGATTACCTGATAAATCAGTTTATAACACTCAAATCAGCCCTTGAAATACATCGTAACTGATGAGAAAAATCTCAATACTGATGTTAAAAACAAAATTGGGTATTTATGAAAGAATAAATACAGGGCACAGTAATGGTATTTAGAACTTTAAACCAAATCCTTGTGTCAACAAGACTTTTCTTCTTCTACCAATATTCCCAAATTCCTACCTTAAATGATAAAATATAAACTTTTTAAACACCATATATAGTTGCAGATGGCATTGCCTAATGTTGTATCATTTTCTTCCTTTTTGAATGTCTTTCCTTCCTCTTGCTACATGATGAATTTTTAAAAACTATGGACTATAAAATTATTTCACTCTGAATGTCCGAAGATAGTTTGCTATTTATGCTCAAGAGTCCCAACTTAATATTAAGTGAAATGAAAAAAAAACTCCATCTAGCATTACTGGACTATGTCAACCAAATTGGAAACCTCTAACCCTAACCCTTTAAGAGTTGGTTGCAAAAGATAATTGCATTTTTACCATTACTTTTTTTCTTTTCTTTTCTTTTTTTTTTTTTTTTTTTTTTTTTTTTNGACAGAGTCTCACTCTCGCCCAGGCTGCAGTGCAGTGGCTCGATCTCGGCTCATTGCAACCTCCATCTCCCAAGTTCAAGCAATTATCTGCCTCAGCCTCCCGAGTACTGGGATTACAAGTGCCCGCCACCATACCTGACTAATTTTTGTATTTTCAGTAGAGATGGGGTTTCACCATCTTGACCAGGCTGGTCTTGAACTCCTGGCCTTGTTACCCACCAGCCTCAGCCTCCCAAAGTGCTGGGATTACAGGCGTGAGCCACCAAGGCTGGCCTTTACTACTTTCAATGGCAAAGATGGCAATTACTTTTGCACCAACCTAGTAGTATCTATTATGTATATTATAGACTCATTTTAAGCATTAGGAGAATGAGTCACCTAATAAAGGCATTCAGGAATAGAGAAAAGAAAATCAAGACAATCTAATAAATGTAATTCCCTTCTTCAAAATAAATTAATGTTTTAAAACTAAACCTTCATATTTACTTTACAAGTCTTTTTAAACTTTCTCTGCCAAGTACTCCAAGGTCAGGTGAATTATCTGAAGTGTCATATACCTTTTATACGAACAAAAAGTAAGATTTAAGAATTGGAATAAATTTCATTTCAATTCAAATACTCTCTCAATGTGACACAGAAAGAAGACAGAGAAATACTCGGTAGAAGAGGGCAGTTCTCCAGCAAAAGCCCCACCTCCAAGTCTGGAAAGCTGCCTCCCTAAATAGGAACAGGCATTCCTGTTTTTGCACCCAAAAGTTACCTTCTGGCCTGCCATGCCCCCTTACCCTGTATGCATATAAACCCCAAGCTCCCGGCTCCACAAGGAGACAAACGGAGGGGCAGAAGAATGGCAAAATGGTGCAGCAGAGAGAAGAGAAGGAATGTTTGAATGTCCCCAGTTTGCCTGGGGACAGCCAGAGAGGAAATCGGCTGCTGGACAGCCAAACTCCAGGGAAAGATCATCTTCCCATTCCATCTCCTTCCAGCACCCCATCCATCTGGCTGAAAGCCACCTCCACGACTCAATAAAACCCATGCATTCATCCTTCAAGTCCGTGTACAACCTGAATCTTCCTGAATGCCAGACAAGGGCCTGGGTAAAAGGAGAACACTGAGCTGGTTAGCACTTAAGCCATCTGCAAGGCTAAAGGAGCTCACTGTAACACACACCCATTTGGGCTTCGAAAGTCGCAGGCTCCCACCCCTGGACGCTGCAGTGGGGCTGAAGCCCAGAGACACTTGCCCTGGTTTCTGCACCTGCCCATCTGCGTGCTCCCCCTCCCATAAGGTGTCTGAGTATGCACAGTGGCCCAAACAGATAAGCCAAACCCCTGTTGTACATACTGCGAGGGGGGTCAGGGAACTCTCCCATTTCAAACAGAGACAAGCTATTAATAAGTATCCTGATCCTGAACCAATCTGTACCTCATATACTATGGTAAGGGCTTTTTCCTCATCTTTTTCTGAAGAGATCTGTTATTTAATTGAAACACTTAGATTTTCTCAATAAAACACTTGGGAATTCCATAGACAGGAAATCTTTTTGACATGTGGTGCTTTGGGTTTTTTTGAGATAGGGTCTCACTCTGTCGCCCAGGCTGGAATGCAATGAATAGCATGATCACACCTCATTGTAGACTCAACCTCCTGGGCTTGGGTGATCCTCCCAACTCAGACTCCTGAGTATCTGAGACTACAGGCCTGCACCACCAGCTAATGTTTGTTTGTTGTTGTTGACGTTGTTGTTGTGTTTTGGTATGTTTTTGTGGAGACACAGTTTCACCATGTTGCCCAGGCTGGTCTCAAACTCCTGGACTCAAAGGATCCACCTACCTCAGCCTCCCAAAGCGTTGGGATTACCGGCGTGAGCCACTGCGCCCAGCCTCTCCTTCTCCTTTTAAAACTGTTTTTTTCTAACACTATTCTGGTATTAAGAATACGCTGCTTGAATACTCAAGAAACAACAGTGGCCTCCTCTGGGGAACAGAACAAAGTGGTACTCTCTTACTGTTTAAATCTTTAACAACTGCCTGGACTACCTTTAACAAAAAAATTGCTATAAATTATACTTACTGAAAATAATCTGGCCAGGTACAGTGGCTCATGCTTGTAATCCCAGCACTTTGGGGGGCCAAGGTGGGCAGATCACCTGAGGTCAGGAGTTTGAGCCCAGCCTGGACAACATGGTAAAGCCCCATCTCTACTAAAACTACAAAAATGAGCTGGGCGTGGTGGCACATGTCTGTTGGGAGGCTGAGACATGAAATTTGCTTGAATCTGGGAGGCAGAGGTTGAAGTGAGCTGAGACCATGCCACTGCACCTCAGCCTGGGGTGACTTAGCGAGATTCCATCTCAAAATACAATATAATACAACACAATACAATACAATATAATAATAATTGGTAATTCAGTGTCAGCTGCTAGAAAGACTCCTTAAGATTAGTATTTTCTACCTTTCACGGGACCCAAACGGCTATAAAGTAAAAACGTAAGCTCATTAACACTATCTGTAAGGTCCTTTATGACCTTGGCCCTTCATACTACTCCATCCTTACCTACTGCCACTCACCTACTCTAGCTACACTCCAACTATTTGAACTTCTGTGCACTAACCACCAACTCACTATGCCATTTCATCTCCTGGAAGGTTCTTACCTCTGCTTTTTCAACTAGTATTGTGGACCCATTTTACAGGACCCAATGTAGATGACCTCTCCCAAAAGCCTTCCCTAAGTCCTCTTGCCAGAGTTAGATCTGCCCCTACCCTGACCCCAATGTTTCCATAGATCCCTGTGCTTACCAGCTATCTCCTTTATCACACACTTGGGATTACCTATATATTGGTCTTTCTCACTAAAAGCTCTTTAAGGACAAGACTCTTATATGTCATAATTGTATTCTCAAATGTTTTCTAGTACTGTGTCTGGTCCAAAGTAGGTACCCAAATAGTGCAGAACAGGAATGAACTACCTCTTATACCTCAAGGCCTGATTCTGTGAAGCTGTCTCTATCTATCCTAAGCAGCCAGGTGTTTTTCTCTCCAGGCTCCCATAGTACCAACTCAACTAACATCTATTTCTCTCCATTAGACTATGAGCTTCTGAAAAACAAGCTCTTTTTTCTTCTTCTTCGTAACTACACAAGCACTGTCCTAGGTATGTAGCAGAAATTAAATATTTGTTGAGTGGATGAAGAGTATGTATCCTGTTTAAAATACATGTGAAGAAACAACAAGCATAGGATAGCCTGTTCATTTCTTATTTATTTTTTCATCATTACTAATAATAAGAGACCATAAAGCTCAAAAAGTCTTTTGTGCTTGCTTTAGGATTAGGGAAAGGAAGTCATTAAAAGATCAGAGTATTCCCCAGATAGCTCCTTATCCTCTGACTTCCTGAAACTCTGCTTTTTTTCATCTGAATTCTATTCTCATTTCTAATCATTAAACCCTGGACCCACACAAAATTAGAGCCCTCCCAGTAGCTTAGAAGCAGGGAATTCCCACTTTTATTGCTTGGCGAACAGTAGGGGAGGGTCAGTAATGGTAAGGTAAGGAGGAAAACTCTTACTCCAGAGCAACAAAAAGAGATGAAATGTTCCTGACATCCCAGTTTCAAACTTTGTATTCATTTTCCTCTAGAAATAGCATTATTCAGTGTTACACATGGTAGTAATGGCAGTTAATACTGCATATGAATTAAATGGTTTTCTGTGGGCAGGGCTGGGACATCATCATTCCAGTCAACACATTATTCCTATGGGACCATGACAGATGTTTAAATTTTTGAACTACTATTCTCTTCATGTTTTCCCCTCCCACAAAAGAAAACCTGAGTATCACCACAACAGGTTTAGCACAGTGTGAAATATATTACATATACAATATTTTCATCCACAGTTCCTGGGTTTTTTGTGTTTGTTTGTTTGTTTTACACAGGGAAGGAGGGCTAGCATAGGGCTTGGCATTAAGCATGAATGAAAAACTTAAAGACTGTGAGTGATCAAGCAGTCTCATCCACAGTTAATCTCAGCTGTTACTTAGCTCTTTACTCTGCTTCTCACCTGTCCATCTACTGTCTCTTACCTCAGGGATTAAGTGCTCTGTTACATAATCAAGACTTCTCTCTAACCTTGCTCTTCAGTTTTTTCCAGCTCCTCCCTAAACATGACAAATAAATTGTCCTGTTTTAAAAATCCATCCCCTTTTCGCATCTACCACTGTGTTAAGACAATGGACTAGGTATTCAAAGGCGACTGAGTTCATTGGTTTCATGTATTGGGCATCAAATCCTTGGTGCAAGTCATTGTGGTACAGTGCATCTGCTGTGCATTTATTAGTAACTGGTGGTTGGGAAGTTAGAGACAGTAACTCCAGGAAATTAGAGTATATCCCAACTTATTACATATTATCTCAAATTGTTTTTAGCTATCTAAATCTCCAGTTCAATAAATCAAAATTCTTAAAACACGAGTTTTTTCTTCCAACCTACACATTATGGTAGGAAAGTGTACCTACCAGTTTTCAGTTTCTGTTTTGCAAATTTTGCGAGCAGTAGCCACAGTTATCTCCCCAGCAATACCGTAACTTCCAAAGGGAGCACATTTGTCACCAGATCCTGAACTTTTTTAAGCTACATCTTCTACTGGGAAAGCAACAGAAAGAAAAACAGGACTTTCTGGCTTGGGAACATCTTGTCCACTTGGAGGATTAGTATTGCGGGGACTTAGAGTATGTTTCTGGAATTTCCCATCTGCAGGAACAGCAATGGGCACTTGCACTGCAGCATATCTCTTCAAGACACCTGACCGCGAAACAAGAGCATGACCAGGAAGAGTTTCCCATTCCTGTGCTTTCTGAACATTTGAGCCTGCTGAGATAAAAGGTGGGGTACTGATATTCTTTGTGTCGTCCATCACATAAATTGGAGAGGTGACTGTTGGTGGATGCTGCAGAAACTGCAGATCCTTAGGATTAGATATGTAGAGGGTTGCTTGGGGGAAAGGCCCAGGTGCAGGTGGCGGTGATGAGTGACTTTGTTGATTCTTATCAGTTAGACAATAAAGGGTCCACATATTGGAAAATGGTGGTGGTTGTTGGGATTCGCTTGCTGCCATTGCTGGCTACAACAAACCTTATTCAGCTGTTGCTTCCCCTTCTGGTTCGATTTCTGGTGCAGTAAGACCTTCTGGAGCAGAAGGGCAGGGGCCACTAGATTATTTTACAGATGTACCTGAGTGCACTGCTTCTGCAGCTTCCCTAGAGAGCACAGGTTTGCCTTCCACCTCCTGGGGTGCAGAGCTTTCCTCGGACTCCTCCTGCCCAGCATTGTCAGAGACTATTGAAGTCATCGCCACTTCAAAGTGCAGAGATTTTTCAGAGCCTATTTTGATAGTGCCCTCTGCATCCAGGGTTTCTGCAGGTACCTCAGGCTGACCTTTCAAAGATGTGTCTGAGAGCACAGCTGTTGCTTCTGCCTCCATATGTACTGAGAGATATTTTTCATTCTCCTCCAACTGTGCAAGTTTTACAGACTCTACAGATTTTTTAGACATGCCAGAGGTTGTCTTTTCTACTACAGGTTTGGGACTAACTGGTGGTGACTGCTCATTTTCTTTAAGACAAGCAACTTGATCAGTGAAAGGGATAACTATTTGTTCTGGCTGTTGCTTGACATAAACAACTCCTTCAGTCCCAGGCACATCATTATAGATAGACGATATACGAAGAGTTTGACATAACCTCAATATGAGCCTGCAAAGGGACCTCAGGAGCTTGATCATAAGCAGGAAGTTCATAAGCTTGTTCATCCTGCAAGGGACTGAGGAAGCCGTTGATAGTTCAGCCTCATTTTCTTTAGGTTGAGAACCCAAATCTACATGGACAGATGTTTGGCTCACAACCTGCACTTCTAGTACCTTCCCAGAATACACAAGAGGAGCAGCCACCATGACATCTTCAGCAGCCTCTGAGCTCGGCACCTCCTTGATAACAACAGGCATGCTGGTTGCCACATCCACCATTAAAACATCAGATTGATCAGAATGAATAGATAAAACTTTACCTAATATCTGAGCAGCAAACTGAGCTGGGTCAGCTGGGATATAGGCAAACTCTGGCGAGACAGCTGTTGGAGGTGGTGAGGAGGGTGGGGTAGTAGTCTTAGGGGTAGCTGCTTTGGGAGAAGAATCATGAACTGCTTCAGTTTGCTCAGCGCCTAGCTCAGCATAAGTTGATGGAAACTGGGTGGTTTTGTCACTATATCCTGTTCCAGTTACATTGTCCTCCTCTGTGTCTGTAGATTTTTCCAACCGTGTAGGTACTTTAGATTCTACAGATGTTTTTTCTGGTTCTTTTAAACATTCTACTTTCTTCGGTCATACTGATCCTTCTGACCACTTCTGTACTTTAATCTGATGAAACTGTTTAACCAGATCCTTTATATCCAGAGAAGTATTCCCTTCTCTATACATAGCAAGTTCTTTAAAATAAACTGGTTGATGTTTGATGGGTTTTTTTTGATAGTGGCTCTGCTAATTCCTTCGAGTAGAGTCTTGAGGCCATAGGGTATGCCAAATCTGGACGTTGAAGAAATCATTTTGGCAGGATGTCTGTAACTCAACTTCTTTCCGGCTGCGTTCTTAAGAGCTTCCTCATTGCCCGCTTGCAGGCAGCTCCTCGGATCTTTTTTTTTTTTTTTTTTTAGTCGGCGTCTGACTCTGTCATGCAGGCTAGAGTGCAGTGGCGTAATCCTGGCTCACTGCAGGCTCCATCTCACAGGCTCAAGCAATCCTTCCATCTCAGCCTTCTGAGTAGCTGGGACCACAAGGAGTGCGCCACCATTCCCAGCTAATTTTTGTATTTTTTAAAGAGGCAGAGTCTCACCATATTGCCCAGGCTGGTCTCAAGCTCCTGAGAGTCCACCTCAGCCTCCCAAAGGGCTGGGATTACAGGCATGAGCCACTACCCGGCCAATTACTGGCTCTTAACTACCATAGTGCTTGTTACAGTCTTTTTTTAAATAATGTTGGGGCACCTCAAGCCTCAGGAACAGAATCTCTCTCTCTAACCTTCTCCTGTCCTCCTTTCACCTGCCCAAGGCAGGACTCTAATCTAGTTTTGGGTCAAAAAAAAACCCTCATCCCAGAGAGGGTCCTGTCTCCATATCACAGAAGAAGAAATGATATACAGAGAAGCCAAGAAAAGTCAGAATAAACAGGACTTGCTGGGCTTAGATCATGCACTTTTTGTCCAATCACATTTCTACACGGTTGTCATTCATACCTATGCAATGAAGCCTCCATAAGAAGCCAAGAAGACAGGGTTCAGACAGCTTCCATATAGCTGAACACATAAAGGTTCCTGGAGGTTGGTACACCCAGGGAGGGCATGGAAGCTCCATGCCCCTGCCCCATACCTCGCTCTGCACATCTCTTCATTTGCATCCTTTGTAATATTCTTTATAATAAACCAGTAAACATAACCAAGTGTTTCCCTGTGTTCTGTAAGACGCTCCAGCAAATTAACCAATCCCAAAGAGGAGGTAGTGGGAATACCAACCTGAAGCCAGTCAGTCCAAAGTTCCAGAGGCCAGGACTTTTACTAAGGAGAGAGTGGTCTTGGGGACTGAGCTCTCAACCTGTGGAATCTGACGGTATTTCTGGATAGACAGTGTGGGAAGTGAATTGGAGGGTACCCAACTGGTATTCACCGTTGGTGTGTAGGGAAAAAGCACCACGTCTTTAGTCACAGGTGTATCTTTTTGAAAATTCATTTAATTGGTAAATTTCCCAAGATGAGACACAGATGTCTTCTACTATGTTAATGATCATTGCGGTGGTGTGAGAGCAGAGGAAAAACAAGGGTTTAGAGTTTTTCTGAAACACACAGTGTTCAAAATATTTACCATAATAGTATGAAATTTTATGTAACTCACAAAATCAAACAAAATTTATGTAACTCACAAAATATAGTAGTACTATATTACTTTAGTACTACTATACAAAAACACAGTAGACGAATATACCAATAAATTAACCAACTAACTCCCCTCTAACCTCAAACTCTCTAATAAATGATGTCTTCGCCTGTTTATCTTAGTGGCAATCAGAAGACATCGCTTTCTGTGCAGCTTTCTCAATGGGGGGGTCTTTTTTTCTCTCACATCCTATGTATTTTAGGCCAGGAGATATGGATAGGATACTGAAAGGTCTAGAGCAAATTTGTCCTGTGGGTCACATTGCCTAGGATGGCTTTGAACACAGCCCAACATAAATTCATACACTTTCTTAAAACATTATGAGATATTTTTTTTGGGCGATGTTTTTTAAAGCTCATCGGCTATTGTTAGTGTTAGTTTATTTTATGTGTGGCCCAAGACAATTCTTTTGCCAATGTGGTCCAGGGAAGTCAAAAGATTGGATAACCCTGGTCCAGAGGGAGGCAAAAGATACATTCCTTGCATCCAATTACCACTTCCAAACTATTTCTTCTCCTTCCTTAAATACCCAAGATCTTCTGACACGATACCCAACTGTGTACCCTCTATTGCCTCCAGCACTCTTGTCCACTCTTATCCCCACCATCACTCTGTGACTTCAAAGTCTATGTGAATTGCCCACCTAACACTCTGGCTTCTTAGCTCCTTAACTTCTTCACCTCCAAATGCCCACTTCCATGATCCACTCAGGACCTTGTCATCATCAATAACTGCATTGTCCCCAAATTCTTAACCAAAAATCTCAAAAATCAAATTTCCAGTCTTTATTTCATTTTTATTTTTTGAGATGGAGTCTCACTGTTACCAAGGCTGAAGTGCAGTGGCATGATCTCTGCTCGCTACAATCTCCATATCTCCTGGGTTCAAGCGATTCTTGTGCCTCAGTCTCTTGAGTAGCTGGGATTACAAGCACACACGACCATGCCTGGCTAATTTTTATATTTTTAGTAGTGACAGTTTCACCATGTTGGCCAGGCTGGTCTCAAACTCCTGACTTCAAGTGATCCACCCACTTCGACCTCCCAAAGAACTGGCATTACAGGCATGAGCCACTGGACTCAGCCCCAAATTTCGTCTTTAAAATGTATCTCCTGCCTCTCTAGTTCATTGCACTGTCTCCAAATTCAACATTCTCTTACCTTACTGCATTTTTCAATCCAATCAAAAATGCTCTCATCATTTTTCACCATCCATTACTTTCATCTTTACTATCCTCTTTAGACCCAACAACAGCCACTCTCTTTCAAACTCTCAAACCCCTTACTCTTCTCTCCTCTCCATTACCTGGCAAAATCCCAAATCTAACTGACCTGATCCATTCCACTTTTACGTGCCTGAACCAAAGCAGGTTATTATAGAGGAAAGGGGAGAAATCAGGTTAACAAGGCTAGCTGGTTTCACTTTAAATTCACAACTATAAACATCAAAGGATATCCAACACTGCCTAGCAGGGCTACTATGTTTCCTGGAAAGTTTGTCTTCCTGCACTCTGAGTTAAGTTCTTCATGTCTTATTCTGTCTCCTGAAATCTGTAACAGACCTATTTTTTACCTATACCACTCTTTGCTGAAGACCTACTTCACCGAGAATATAAAAGCTATTGGAGAGAAATTCTCTCATATTTTTAGGCAAGTCAAGTCACCCATCTTCCTTGGGCCTGTTTTTGCATATTTAAAACGTGAGATGGTAGGATAGGAGGGCACATGAGAGACTTAATGATATTTAGGGTCTCTTCCAATTCTAAAATTCTCTGTTCACCTCATTTTATCCTTGTTTTTTAAAGGCAAGTGAGAAGATATAAAACAAAAAGTTATTTAAATTTAACATAGCAGGGAAGAGAAGGAATTATAACAGGAATCTTCAACTTAGTATTTTCTTCTAGCAAAAAGAAAAAAAGAATCAAGTAAACAGTAGATAAACAAGAATTCCAGGTTTTCATACAAGAGATATGGTTTTGTTTTTTATAGACACATCAATTTAATCACAAAGAAATGGATGGCATTTCATATTAATGGCTGTGACTAACATCAAATTAAGTATCTATAAAAAAAATTGATATCTTATGCTAAATTTTTAACACTCCTCCATCACAGAAGAATGCCAATTTATGTAGACTACTATAACTTAGTTTGCCTAGTAGAATTTCTAACCTATCTGTTTGGCTTCCATATTTAATCTCAGAATTCAAATGCAAATTGTACCTACATTTTAAATAGATGTAGGTAAGATTTTTAAAATCATATTTTGTAAAAATATGATTTTTGTAAAAAAAGTTTAAATAAAAAATAAAAATCATGACACCTCCCTGGCATATAGAGAGTTGTAAGAATTATTATTGAAAATTGGCCAGACACAGTGGCTCCCACCTGTAATCCCAGAACTTTGGAAGGCTAATGTGGGCGGATCACCTGAGGTTCAGGAGTTCGATCTGCCTGGCAAACATAGTTAAACCTCATCTTTGCCAAAAATATAAAAATTAGCCAGGTATGGTGGCAGGTACCTGTAGTCCCAGCTATACTTAGGAGGCTGAGGCAGGAGAATCGCTTGAACCCGAGAGGCACAGGTTGCAATGAGTGGAGATCAAGCCAAGCCTGGGCAACAAAGTGAGATGCTGTCTCAAAAACAACAACAACAACGAAAATTATTATTAAAAATGAGGCTGCCTGGAATGGCTCACACCTGCAATCCCAGCATTTTGGAAAGCCAAGGTGGGTGAATCATTTGAGATCAGGAGTTTGAGATCAGCCTGGCCAACATGGTGGAACCCCAACTCTACTAAAAATAAAAAACATATTAGCTGGGCGTGGTGGTGTACACCCATAATCCCAGCTACTGGGAGGCTGAGGCAGGAGAATTGCTTAAACCTAGGAGGCAGAGATTGCAGTGAGCCAAGACAGTTCCACTGCACTCCAGCCTGGGCAACAGAGAGAGAGAGAGAGAGAAAGAAAAGAAAGAGAAGAAAGGAAGAAAGAAAAATGAACCCCACTTCCAAAAAAAATACTAAAAGAAAAATCTGTCTGCAGTCCCCTCTCAGCTCAGTACATTCTCCCTACTCCATACAGCCTCACTTCAAAAATGTTCACTACGTTCTATTTGCTTACATAATTCCTACCCTAAGGCACTACTCACATACAAGTATGTTTTGCTTCTCCAGTCAAACAAAATATCCTTTGCCTCCTTCCCTTAGGGCTTTGCAAAGTACTAGGAATTAACCTAAGTAATTTTTAAATAATTAAAAGGCAATCATAGCTTAAAGTCTACCTCTTCCAGGTATCTCATCTGCACCATCAGAACAGCCCTAAAACAAAGGAATGACTGATGTAGAAATGTCAAGTCTTCCTTGAACAAGTTCGTCAAAGAAATTTGGACATCCACTTGTAGCAACAGCAGACCAGGTTATTCAGACGAAGTATCCTTATGAAGGCAATTTAAAAAGCTACGTAAGACATTAAAATCATTTTAAAAGCACCAAATAACCACCAAAATAATGAGGAAGGAATAACGAGCTCAAATCCACTAGAAGTCAGGAACCCAGAAAAGTGACCTCAGCTTTTGCCTTTTGTGAGTTTACCAGCAAAGAACAAGCATTTAAGAGCTTTGTTGTTTGCTGCCTGCGT